GGGCCATCTTCTCTTTGTGTTGCGGTAGGTGTATGCTGCTCTGGCAAGTTTTACTTTCTGGGAATTTTCCATAGCCTGATTAGTTTATGCAAATTCTCAACTATCGTTCTTAGTTCAACTGTCCCTTAAAGGTCATCCTACCAGCATCTTTGTCTTTCTTTCTAGTCCAATGCTGGGTGTACTTTCAACCCCAGTTTCTTCCTTCCCCGATTAATGGGTATTTTGGCCTACAACAGTTCATGTCCTGGCTTGGCCCCGCACCTACGCGTAAAGTCCACGACCTCAAGATTGCTATATTTTATCCTGCTCGCAGCGCCAAAAATGTCACAGTGTGGGTGGTGTGTACATTTTAAAGAGGGGATAGAAGAAGATGAGAAGATATAAAAGTAGAGAGAGAGATAGACGAGAAGAAATAATAGTTAAAGGATGTATAAGAGGACAATAGGTTCTCCTGTGTGGAGAGTGTAGTAATAAGTCTACACCCCAAACGATCAGGTAATGGTCAGTGGAGGTCTTATGAAGGAGAGAGAGTAGATATATAGTAAGTGGTGGTGGTATAAAGACTACAGAGACTAACAATAATAGCACCACTCCTATACTCAACAAACTAACGATGGAATAAAAGAATAACAACTAACAATCATGTTTATTAAGAAACAGCATTACAAAGTCGTCTATCTCATGTTACACAACCGACAGATGTTATATTATGTTATAAACAGAACGTCCTCACGCTATAAAACTCAGCAACTGACAGCAGAATCCACTCGACGATAAACTAGCAAATGACGCCTAGAATATCCTTCATTGCTCTACAAATAATAAGCCAAATAACAACTACAATCTAGCCATCTACTCTTATGCCAAATACCGACCACCATCTAACCGTACTGCTGATTGCAGTACAAAGACCAGCAAACCTATAGCCAAATACTGACTACCATCTAGCCAAACTGCTGATTGCAGTCTAGATACCATCTAACTATAGCTGATTGCAGTCCAAAGACCAGCTAGCCTATTTAGCCAACCCGGCACACCATGACAGAAGCTGCCATGTCACATAACATGAAGCAATATTTCGTGCATTATCTGGCAATTCACACAACAGAAGTATGGACTTAGCTCCATCGTATCGACATCATCCGAATGCCCACAGCATCCTTCGTTGGCAGAGATCTCAGCGCAAGTGTCTCTATCAGGGCTTCCAGTAGTGTATTTACCCCTGACGCTACCCCTCTCCTTTGTCCCTGAGTTCATGAAACTTTGTCTTCTAAGGTTCATGAACCTTTCTCTTTCCCGCCAAAGATGGTATTCCAAGCCACTTTGCATATTTGGATGGAAAATCCCCAGGAAATCTTGTGCCGTTGCCTTTGTTCGTTGTCTTCCCTCTGTTAATTTACGAGTATATTGGCCTGCAACAGTTCATGAACAAGCTTGGCATGCACCCACGTCTTTGTCCACTCTTGAGTCAATGCCCTCAGGGTTGTTAGACTAGCGACCCTCTTTATCTCAAGCGACTCTATACCTCCTTATTCCTCCGTGTGTTTCTTTCTTTCTATTTCCTTCTTGTAAAAAAACGTGACTGTAATCAGTACTGTCACATATAGACCAGTCAGCCCTCCAAGGGTGATGTGTCAACAGCACGCCGGTCGCCTTTACTTCCCAATACTTTTCTGGTACCCACTTAGGCTAGATCGACCTGGTAGCCAAAGTCATATTTTTAAAAAATGCTGTTCATGTGGTTTTGTACCCTCAACCTTTGGATCAACAGGGAAACATCTAGCCGCTACATTACGGCGGCTGACAGTTTAGAGACTAGTGATTTCTAAATGTAAAATGTGCCTAGTGAAACCGCACAACAGTAAGTAAATAGACAAGTTAGTCGACGGAGACCTGTCAAGTGTGTGTAACTAAGTTCATCATTCGTTAATCACTACATCTGTGCATTGCTACTTGTGCTAGTGTACCCTGTCAGTATTGATGTTTTGTCACGTGTTTGCCAACCAATAAGCTTGCATCCATATTGTCCAGGGTCGGGCAAGGTTTGCTCTCAAGTCAGCGAAAAGCCGGCCTACATATCAAATGATGAACTCAAGCGCCTTATTCTAAACGTAAGTACCTCTGTGAGAGACATAAAAAACAACTGATGTAGTTTCAAGTCAGCTAAACTGTGTGCGGTCTTCGCCTTCGACTAACCATCTGCACAGTATATTACGAAAAAGTCAGCAAATAAACATATCGACGGTTTTAGTTACATTTAAGCAGCACTGGAATTAAATTTTGATAGAATCGTCACCATCTTCGTCATGTAAATGCACGACAGGTGAATGCACGTCAGGTAAATGCACGACAGGTAAATGCACGACAGGTGAATGCACGTCATGTAAATGCACGACAGGTAAATGCACGGCAGGTAAATGCACGACAGGTAAATGCACGTCAGGTGAATGCACGACAGGTAAATGCACGACAGGTGAATGCAATGCAGGTAAATGCACGACAGGTAAATGCACGACAGGTAAATGCACGACAGGTAAATGCACGACAGGTGAATGCAATGCAGGTGAATGCACGTCAGGTAAATGCACGACAGGTAAATGCACGACAGGTAAATGCACGACAGGTAAATGCACGACAGATGAATGCACGACAGGTGAATGCACGGCATGTAAATGCACGGCAGTTGAATGCACGACAGGTGAATGCACGACAGGTGAATGCACGACAGATGAATGCACGACAGGTGAAAACATGACAGGTGAATGCACGACACATGAATGCACAGCAGGTGAATGCGCCTGTAATAATCAAGTCAGATGCCTCGTCTGGCATTTGAGGAGACTGCAACTCAATGTGCCAGCATTTTCCATAGACATAGCCAGTATGTCTACATTCGATAGTATTTACATTCATTTGTTTCTCACCGTTTGTTCCAAAGGAATTGCCCCAACATTTCTATAGCTTACAGTCTGTACTTCTGGCTGCTAGAATCTCAGGTTTGTTCACCGCCAGCCACATTTTTACATGTACTAGACATGCTGAACGCAACATTCGATCGCATCTACCACCAACATTTACAGGATTAAGGATAGCTGCATCGTGGTACCGTGTGAATAATACCATTAGCTCTTGTTCTAAATTAACAGTCTCACAAATGTGTCTAGTATTAAATTGTTCAGATTTTAGTTGGACACTGACTGTAAACAGCAAGGTTTTATTTTTGATCTAGTAACTAGCTGTAAACAATATTATGTGATCTGGAAATGGGTAAGTTGCATCTTGTTGTTTTTAAAAAATGTATCCCTCTTGGTGTGTGTCTCCATAATCCTAAGAAAAACAAACTTATGCTGTATGTTTCCATGTTTGCGTGACTTTGTTCTATAGTCCATGACTCCTTCCTTGCATTGGTAATAATGTGTGTCTATATTTTCCTGTCGCACGACCTGTTAATTATTTCTAAAGTAGATGTTTGTCCAGGACACAATGTTGAACTAGGTAACAGCTTCACTCTTGGTCTTCCTCTGCCTCTCTTTCGGTTCAGTTTTCTCGCTATCACACGGTATGCAAGCTTTCGTATTCTCACAGTGATTTTTATACACATAGTAACATGTTCCCCATTACCACCGCCCCCTCCGCCCCCTTCCCCTCCCCAACTCTTCTGTTTAAATACAAAATTCCTATTTGACAAGTTTCTATACTTAAATATGTAGTTTCTCAGTATCGGCCTGCCAGATTGTACACTTAGTGCTCGATGTCTTTGAAAAATTTATATTTACGTTGTCGGCTAACGAAATATTGAGACTGATTCTAATATTGACAAAACAAAAACTTCAGCCGTGAAACAGAGCATGTTATCCAAACAGGCACCATTTATTTGTGATCTGCCAAATTGTATCGTCTGATCAGAAGGCGACAAGCAAACCGTGTTTACATAGTGAAAGTTGCTTTGTAACGTATGCAGCATGAAGCCGAGGGTGATCAGTAATTGTGTTTCAGTTGAAATGATGTGATGATTTTATTATTAACATGATTCCATGAAGTCATATGATGTCACGACATATCTATTATCTGTGCAGACTAGCAGACCTCATTCTTGATTTTGATGTTACCATACTTCTCTCCCGATTGTCCGGCAGGTTGCAGACGGTTTCCTGTTTGTGGTGGGCTGTGACAGAGGCAGGATACTCTACGTCTCTGAGTCGGTCAAGGACATTTTACATTATTCTCAGGTAAGCTTGTTTAAGGCTCGCTGTAGTAGTGTTAGTCCGTCGCCTAACAAGGCAGCGGCCGGCGTCCAAACACTATCGGAAGCAGAATTATATTTTTCGGCCAGTGCGACTCTAGAGGCAAAAAATGCGTACCAGTTTTCCAAAAACCTATGGGGACGAAAGGTGAATGAGCGAATTGTTTTTCTAAATAGTCACAAGCTGCGCACACAGGCCCGAAATAAACTGGCCCCTTCTAAACACTAATCGTTCACCCAACAGTTGTAGGCTCTCCTCCTAATAACGGTCCCAAATGATCTACGCAGAAAGTGAAACCAAACAGAGCCTCATTACGTCCTGCCCTACAAACATTTAAAAGGTGTAGCTCGGAAAAAATAAGGAACGAAAAGTGTAAGGAAAGGGGCAAAGTCTACTGCTTACCGAAAATTAAATCCTTTAAATATGAAAATTGTGGCACAGAAGTGGCAAATAGTGCGCGAATATCTATTTTCTGCCTCGCTGTCCGCCATCGCAACTCAGCTCGGTTTGTCCGCGATTCTCGTTCCGGGAGAGACATGACCAGTAATGCGCGGTTTTATGTACACGCATGTCGCCTAGGGACAACTTCAAACCAGCTGCCGCCACGATGGCGCTCCACTACCCCTTGACCGTGGCGAATGCGAGCACGCTGTTACTTCCAACAGAAGAAGTAGCTCCTGTAAATTGTAGACTTTTTTTTTTCGGCGACTATAGTGCCACCTCCGAGAGTATCCCCCGCTGCAGGAGCTGCGGTAGCTGCTGCTCGTGAGTCCTAGCCATCTAGTTTAGCCCCTTCCGCGCCGCACAAAGCGGCGCCTGGGATACCCTCAGAGGTGGCACTACAGTCGGCGAAAAGCGGTCTGCAACTTACATATAACTCAGACCCTGCCGTAGGATAGCGCTATCGAGTGTATTCTCGCGTGTCGCTAATTGTTTTCGTCCGTAGTTAATCCTAGTTTTACCGCCGTTTAATCACCGTAAAAAAAATCCGTTGCGTTTCGCGAAAATGTGCGCAATCAATCCTTTTTTTTTTGACACGGTTGATTCGCCGCAAAAGAAATTCGAATTTTAGATATGAGTGAGGCTCTGTTTTGGGTTTACTTTCTGCGTAGATCATTTGGGACCGTTATTCGGAGGAGAGCCCAGTTGTATCTTATCATATAAAGTGATGAAAACAGAAGAGACTGCAGTCAGGCTATATCCAAGTTCATGTGTGTGTGTGTGTTTGCGCGTTGTTGTTGTGTGTGTGTGTGTGTGTGTGTATGTGTGTGTGTGTGTGTGTGTTAATCTGTAAATCATGTTAGCTCATAGCAGTCAATCACAGGCTGGACTGAATGGTCACCCTTCAAATCCAAGTCGAGCCCTGCGTCATTGCTACCAATTCCCAATGCAAGCCTCAAGTCAGCAAGAATGCTTCTAAGTCAAGTCAAGTCACTTCATGTACCAAGTCAAGTGCAAGCTATGCGTGGGACAATAAAAAAAAAGTGAATAGACAAAACCTGAAATGGCAGTGCGATAAACTGACTGAACTATACATAGGAGCCGAAACAAAGCTGAGATCACTGATTGATCAATCAAAAAAGATTTATTCTGTCCGATTTTTTATATAGGACACTTTAAAATGTGACGTTGATCACCAAACCTCACAGTGGCGAGCTGCCAACAACGAGTGGTATTAAAATGTGATGTTGATCACCAAACCTCACAGTGGCGAGCTGCCAACAACGAGTGGTATTAAAATGTGATGTTGATCACCAAACCTCACAGTGGCGAGCTGCCAACAACGAGTGGTATTAAAATGTGATGTTGATCACCAAACCTCACAGTGGCGAGCTGCCAACAACGAGTGGTATTAAAATGTGATGTTGATCACCAAACCTCACAGTGGCGAGCTGCCAACAACGAGTGGTATTAAAATGTGATGTTGATCACCAAACCTCACAGTGGCGAGCTGCGAACAACGAGTGGTATTAAAATGTGATGTTGATCACCAAACCTCACAGTGGCGAGCTGCCAACAACGAGTGGTATTAAAATGTGACGTTGATCACCAAACCTCACAGTGGCGAGCTGCGAACAACGAGTTGTATTAAAATGTGATGTTGATCACCAAACCTCACAGTGGCGAGCTGCCAACAACGAGTTGTATTAAAATGTGATGTTGATCACCAAACCTCACAGTGGCGAGCTGCGAACAACGAGTTGTATTAAAATGTGATGTTGATCACCAAACCTCACAGTGGCGAGCTGCCAACAACGAGTTGTATTAAAATGTGATGTTGATCACCAAAACCTCACAGTGGCGAGCTGCGAACAACGAGTTGTATTAAAATGTGATGTTGATCACCAAACCTCACAGTGGCGAGCTGCCAACAACGAGTTGTATTAAAATGTGATGTTGATCACCAAACCTCACAGTGGCGAGCTGCAAGAACGAGTGGTATTAAAATGTGATGTTGATCACCAAACCTCACAGTGGCGAGCTGCGAACAACGAGTGGGATTAAAATGTGATGTTGATCACCAAACCTCACAGTGGCGAGCTGCGAACAACGAGTTGTATTAAAATGTGATGTTGATCACCAAACCTCACAGTGGCGAGCTGCAAGAACGAGTGGTATTAAAATGTGATGTTGATCACCAAACCTCACAGTGGCGAGCTGCGAACAACGAGTTGTATTAAAATGTGACGTTGATCACCAAACCTCACAGTGGCGAGCTGCCAACAACGAGTGGTATTAAAATGTGATGTTGATCACCAAACCTCACAGTGGCGAGCTGCGAACAACGAGTGGTATTAAAATGTGATGTTGATCACCAAACCTCACAGTGGCGAGCTGCCAACAACGAGTGGTATTAAAATGTGACGTTGATCACCAAACCTCACAGTGGCGAGCTGCGAACAACGAGTTGTATTAAAATGTGATGTTGATCACCAAACCTCACAGTGGCGAGCTGCCAACAACGAGTTGTATTAAAATGTGATGTTGATCACCAAACCTCACAGTGGCGAGCTGCGAACAACGAGTTGTATTAAAATGTGATGTTGATCACCAAACCTCACAGTGGCGAGCTGCCAACAACGAGTTGTATTAAAATGTGATGTTGATCACCAAACCTCACAGTGGCGAGCTGCGAACAACGAGTTGTATTAAAATGTGATGTTGATCACCAAACCTCACAGTGGCGAGCTGCCAACAACGAGTTGTATTAAAATGTGATGTTGATCACCAAACCTCACAGTGGCGAGCTGCAAGAACGAGTGGTATTAAAATGTGATGTTGATCACCAAACCTCACAGTGGCGAGCTGCGAACAACGAGTGGGATTAAAATGTGATGTTGATCACCAAACCTCACAGTGGCGAGCTGCGAACAACGAGTTGTATTAAAATGTGATGTTGATCACCAAACCTCACAGTGGCGAGCTGCAAGAACGAGTGGTATTAAAATGTGATGTTGATCACCAAACCTCACAGTGGCGAGCTGCGAACAACGAGTTGTATTAAAATGTGACGTTGATCACCAAACCTCACAGTGGCGAGCTGCCAACAACGAGTGGTATTAAAATGTGACGTTGATCACCAAACCTCACAGTGGCGAGCTGCGAACAACGAGTGGGATTAAAATGTGACGTTGATCACCAAACCTCACAGTGGCGAGCTGCAAGAACGAGTGGTATTAAAATGTGACGTTGATCACCAAACCTCACAGTGGCGAGCTGCAAGAACGAGTTGTATTAAAATGTGACATTGATCACCAAACCTCACAGTGGCGAGCTGCGAACAACGAGGTGTATTAAAATGTGACGTTGATCACCAAACCTCACATGACTGGCTGCGAAAAATGAGTTGTATCAGGTCGTCGAAGCTAAAAGTCAGAAGTTTTTAATTACGCGACTCAAGTCGGATTCCAGTCCAAATTATGCGACTCGTTCCCCGACCTCTGCAATAAACAAGAAATGAATATAGAATAAAAATACACGAGGAATAGAACTGGCCACTTAACCTGGTCAGTTCATGTTGTAAACTGTGCAAAGACCCAGAACTTCATATTCAACGGCAGTATCTGATACAGACTGCCTTTAAAGCTTGCTTCTGCTACACACTGCACATTTGTAGTTCTTCTTCTTCTTCTGCATTCGAAATCAGTCAGGCTAAACATTGAGTCCCGTCTGGGTCACAGATAGGATTGTGCGTTTAAGGTCGCTACCACATTTCTAGTCACTGAAGGGCAGTTTACTGGCTATAGAGCTACACTCGATCTTTGGTTGATTCAGAGCTATCTGATTTCAGATTGAAACACTCCTTGTGCGAGCTTATTGTTGAAGTCACAATGAGGTAGTTATCATATTTTCCCAACCTATTCAAAGAGAAAAGACAATGGAGCCTGTTGTGAAAAAGGCTTTTTACAATATAATTTGCCTCCACTTCCTAGTAGAAAGGACACAAAACGCTTTTTCCAAATAATCATTATGAAACTAACAATGGTCCCGCTAAAGTCCAGAAAGGTGAAAGCGGGACAAAATGCAAACAGCAGCTGCTTGATGTGCAAACGCAAAAAGAAAATTGCAACCAAAACTGCAATTTGTTATTGACAAAAGTAGTCAGTCACACGACAAGCTTCCTATACACAAGCAGAATTACTACGTGAGGCTCAGACTAAAGGCATTCCATGCGCACTATTCACTGTGTTGCACCAAGCACTCAGCTCGGTTAATATAGAAATTAGTCTGCAATCCATGTCCAAAAACGAACAACACTAACGCCTTCAACCGACTGCCCGTCTGTTCGCTATTTTGGACCAGAAAAATCTAGTTATATGTTCGTCTTGCCTTTCCTCTGAGTATAGTCAGCCGGCCAGACCCTTTGGTTACACCCAGGTGCTTCATTCTCTCCAAGTCATTATAATCGTGTTTCTCTACTAATTCCCTTGATTGTTCTCAAAGGGCCCTAACCACATCTGCCTTGTCATGTATCAATTCACCAC